AAACTTATCACTTATTTATGTTTTTAATTAGATTTGATATATTTATTTCTTCAATATTATTTTCCATGTCAGTGTTAATGTCATGAGGCTGATGACTCCATGACACTTTCAATTTGACTCATTTTAAGAACCAGATTTGTTCTTTGTAATTTCTGTCCAGTAAAACTATTAATCTATAAATCAATAGACAGGTCTATATAAAGATATAATCCATGTTTCTGTCTCATATTTCTATGGCATTAAAGGAACTTTAGTTTTTCCACTGAAAGCTCTGGTTTGCACACTAAATGCCATGTGGGTGAAATTTTATGGATGATGCTCTGATGTCCCATTCTCCTGAAGGCAGCACAGAGCTGCACCACCAGAAACACTGAAGAGAAGAAGAGCTGTGATTAATGTAGTTACAGTTCTATCCATGTTTTAATGCTGCAGAGCTCAGCCGGTTTGCAAATAGTTCAAAGTTTAAACTGGCATGTTGTACATCTTTTATCATTTTCTAGAATATTTAACAACTAGAAAATGGCAAAGAATAAGAATATTGTTTCCTCTGATTGGCTGCTGATAGGCCTACAGATTTTAACTTGAATGTTCATTGCATTTTTCGTAAACGCCTGTGAAAAAAATTTCTATTCTCATGGCTTCTTTGTTCTCTGGGAAATTATTTTTGATGATTAATACAGAAACAACCATAAAAATCAAAACATCAACAACAGTGATAGTGATATTAATAATAAAATATTCAGTGACAAGTAGCCTACAAATGGGGGGCGGTGAGGGACCTGGATAAAGGCTAGGGGGGCTCTTTTTAGCGTTTTTTTGCGTGTTTCCAGTCACTGAAATCGGTTTCAAAGCACCACTGACTTTTAGCATCATTAAAAATACGAAACGGTGGATGGAGGATAAATCAGTCACTGTGTTTGGATGTACTCACCACCACTTCTGAGCTGGCTTTCAAAGCACAATCTGCAGATTTTTTTGTAAAGATGTTCCGATGCCTAAAAATTAACATCCATATTTTGACAGCTCCCTGCTTCTTGCTCAGCCCAGTCAGCCCACACGAACTCATCAGTTTTTACCCCAATCGAAGGCTCAGTACTGCACGAATTATCCAGTCATTGTTGCAAGTAGCGAAGATTGCACTTCCACCGCCTCTGACTCCGCAGGCAGCAGATCAAACACAGATCCAGGTTCTGGCGGACCGCAGAGCCGCTGTTCACCAGGCCAAGGTTTTGAGAACGAGAGAAGACTTTGGTTCTGATCCATTTCCAACATGAGCTTTAAAAAACACAGTTAGCTTGGATATTTTCTTCATCATCTCTCTGTTGCGCTCTTTAAAATTTAGTCAATACAAATTATAATCACAAGTACCTGACAAAATTGACATTTACATTTATTGTTAAAATATAACTCAATGTGCGATAAAGCTGCTACTTATGGCTACAGTTAAACTGATGCATTAAATTCAGCAGGGAGTTTTCTTCTTCTCAGAGGTTAACTGAAACTAAGCTTGATGGGTTTTTCTTGCTCTCTGTCTTCCCACTGATGCAACATCAGTCCTGGTGTTTTCTTATGTTTTATCTTTACTCATTAATGGATATGACTTCAAATGTTACTGAGTAACTG